GCAATGGATAGAATGATATCAAGAAAATTTTTCGGATGAAAAGGTAAAAAACAGACTTTTCATTCAGTCATAACTTTTTACTGACAGCATATTTTTGATTGCGGTTTGGTTATAATGAATCAGTGTTTAGTAGACTATTTTACTACATTGGTCTCGTTAGTGGTGGACATTTGGACCACACTCCATACATTTTTGGTCATTGTCCTTAGTTAAAAAAGGAAAGACTAGGCCAGTCTAAAAGCAACGTTAACCTATTAAATAATAAAAAACTTACTTTTGTCTAAGAAAATAGGCTTTCAAGAATATTAAAGCTTCAAAATCGAGACTCGAGAATTCTCGAGCTCCGGTAATTTTTTTCTCGTCTCGAATGAAGCCAAATTTCTCGAGTTTTCTCGAGTTCGAGAAAGCTCGAGCAGAAACCCTATTCGTGATAGGACACTAGATATTTCATAGAGCGGCTCGTTGTTCTGTTACAAGCAAATGCTCTGGTCTATACTCACCTTTAGGTGAATATATATAATTTTTGACATAACAAAATAGCTTATTTTACATTAGACTGATTTATGGCTACAATGACCTAACCAAAGAACACACATAGTTACGTTCCGATTTGTGGATCCACCTGGGAATGGAACCTAGTACCCTACAGAAATTCAAACTTTCCAACAAGTACAAGATAGGTACCATAGAATGTTAATTAATGTTTAGCAGTTAGTAAAATCTAAAAAAAAGCAACAAATACCTACATGTAAGTACTTCTGCATAAAGTGCATTGAAAAAAGTGAAGTTTTTTTTAATTCATAACAAGGCAGGTTTGGATTTGACCACAATCGTACCTGGTGTTAAGTGGGATGCAGTCAATATCTGCCCTGTAAGTGCCTATTCACTCTCGCCTTGAAAAGGCCCGGATTATAGTCTTCAGGATAGACAGCAGGCGGCGAATTCCAGTTCCTAGCTATCTAACTACTACCTGAATCTCAAATACAAATTCTATTCAAGTTTCATTGTAAGTACCTATAGTTAAAGTGTCCTCTCACACTACAGAACTTTTATTTCTTTTCACCGTACATTAAGCTTTGTCAATAAATCTCTCTATATGACCCCTAATTGACATCGTCCCATTTTTCTCCAAGAAACCCACAATCGTAGAAACTGACATATTACAGGCCCTATGAAGGCTTATGTGGACATATATTTATTGTATGTACAACGAATTTACTCGATTGTAATGATATTTATGACATTGGAATAGGTCTTCTTTTTATTTATTTATTTTAGGACTACAGACAAACTCAAGTTCTTTATTAGTATATGTAGGTCTTTTTCAAGGCGCTTATGCCTACATGTCTCAAATTATAGCTTTGCTCTACCACCACTTCGGGACAACATATTGGCTGGTGCCGAGAAGAAGTGGCGGAAGAAACTCATGCCCATTTTCGCCATCAATCAAAGTCAGAATCTTATGTACTCTTTTCTCGATCCTGAATGATCCAAATTCCCCATCTTATCTCAAGTCACAGTTCACTCTTCTCAGTTCAACGCACTCACGTCAGCTCCGTTCTTCTAATAAGTCTGTCCTTTCCACCCCTCTTCACCGAACTGGTTTTCTCTCCGACTCCTTCCGTCTCCAGGCCATAAGGCTCTGGAATTCTCTGCCTGAAGATATCAGGCAAGCCTCTAGCAAGTTTTCGTTCAAAAAATTTGTCCATAACCACTTTCTCCAAATGTTATCATCTTCATGAATGGTTTCTGTTTTAACTTATCGTCATCCATCATTATATCTATCATCTTAGTATGTATTTATTTATTATATTATTTTATACATTATTTATGTATGTGTATATGTAGCTTATTTGTTTTGCCGTCGCTTTGTTTTATTTTTTTTTTTTTTTTTTTTTTTGTTATACCGCCAAACTAATTTTTCTGCATAACCCAAAGGTAAACTGGATGAGAATGCCTTATGGCATTAAGTTCGCCTAATGTTAATATTTTTGGCATTGAAGTATAAATAAATAAATAAATAAATCAATCCCTAATTTTAAGTGACCCCTATGGTAACTCATAACAGGCATTTTGTTTTCATAGGGGTCCCATAAATTAGGGATTGATAGTGAAAACGGGCATTAAGTCTCCTTATTTGTGCCAGACCGTTATGGATCTTGCACAAGCATTTACCTATAGCCTCTGTCCCATAATAGTTTCGTTTGCTTAAACTGTATAGAATGGTATAGTTTTTATTGGCGGTTAAGCTGTAGATCCTACACATGAATTACAGTAGAGCGGCGGATATAATTCCGTTACCTGGTAATTCTAATTTATGGCATGAATATTTTTGTAAATCTATATCTATAAAAGCGAAAGGTCACTGATTGACTGACTCACGATGATGAGTGATCATCACGAAATCTCAAAAACTACAAGTGCTAGGAGTCTCAAATTTTGCATGAGGGTATGCTAGTAAAACACATAATTTTATGTATTTAGATAAGCCCCTTGAAGTTAAAAGGACTATTAGTAATTTGTGCAAAACAATTAACAATATTGTCTTTTAGAAAAAAAATCTAAAAACGTGTTTCTATGGCCAATGTAAAACTCTTTTTATAGGAGCATAATACAACTTTTACCACCACAAAGGCAGTTTGCAAAGGTACCCCATTTCTATACACACAAAGGTGATTCGTAATAAAAGAAATGAAGAAAAAGCGTAATTAAAATATTGCCTAGGCTTTTAAAGGGTTTTTTCCTTAAAAAAGGATTAATTAATTTCTTAATAAAGACTTTTATGTGTTTTGTGAAACTGATTGGATTTTGAAACGTTTAAAATGTTCTTTCTAACTGCAAAATTGGAGAAATGTTTTTGACAGATTTTTATTGGTATTTTTGTATAGGTTTATTACTAATCTTTTATTTATGTTTGTAATTATTTAAATTGATTTACTATTCACATTTCATTTGACGATTGTAAATCTCTTTTACACTCTCAAAACTGTTTCAGAAAGATGAGACTTGATTAGGATTTATTATTACCTTGAAAGATTAAGAAAATGTGCACTAAACTACGTAGAATTTTCGTCCGTATCACTTTATACGATTTTACTTATAATATCAATATCATTATTCAGGTACCCATTTTAAAAGGAAACTAGCCTTTACTGTTTTAGGAATTTATTGACTATCAAGCTGTAGATCCTCTCTACGTTATAAAAATCTCTATAAACGTCCCAGTATTTAAAACTGCTTTGGAACTGGTTTATCAGTAGAAGAAGCAGCGCAAGAAACTTCGCTGTTGTTTCGAAAAATCAACATGCGTTTGGAAAGAAATAAACAATAAAAATATAGAAACAGTAGAACGCCAATTATCTGAACGCCGATTAACCAAATCGGTCTTAAGCGTAATATAAAAAATCAGAACCAAGTAATTTTTGTTTATTTTTGTTGCAACAAGATGGAACTCGCTAGAGTCCAGATATATTTCAACTAAACGTTATTGTAGAACTGTAAACATAGATATTAAAGTTTATTTTATGGGTATCAGTTCGTTTTTAACACGCTTTTTCTTTATTACCAGTCTATATCCGAATATCCGAATTTTCGATTATCCGAATCGACCCCGGTCCCAATTAATTCGGATAATCGGCGTTTTACTGTACTTTAGAAGATAAAAAATGCTTTAAAAGGTTTCCGCTTATTCTTGTTGGTATGTGATAAGTCGAGTCCATTACTACCGTTTTAACATTGCGTGTTACTGCATTGGATATTATTAAACAGGGAATTAAGATTATCGTACTTAGTTGTACTCTGCAGAGTACGACAGTAAATTCTAAACACTTATCACGTTGTAATAGATGCTATATTTAAATAAACATTTATAAGTCTCATACTGACGAGTGTACCTACTGTAATAATTTTTCAGCTGTCGGTTTTTAAACTACGAGTATAGGTACATGACATTGAGACAGACACTCAATAAAATTGTTTAATAAGTTGCTATGGCCCCTACAATGTAATATTTTTTGGTGGCAACCAGACTAAGGCATTCCTTGACATTTCAAGTGAAAATTATAGATACCTAACTTAGAAAATTCTTATTGTAAAAGAAAGAGACGTGGAGACAGTATTCCCGTGATCAGGCTTCAAGACACCATTGATCCAAATTATCAAGCAAATACCTATCAAATCAAATAATTTATTTGTAAGGCACAGGTGAAGGAATTCAGGTAGTTCTTTTAATTTTAACATAAAAAAATATGATTTTAAACTTTCCGTAGCGTTCCGTTTCAACTAAAATATAAAAATGTCGCGATGAGACCCGTGTTTCTCTATTTTAATCAAAATTGTCTGTAAAATACTATGAAATATTTTACAAATGAGCAAATTAACTTTCAAAGCTTCTTGGAGTTTTGATTTCACAAGTTTTTTGAACTGTTAAAACACTCACTGGCTTAAAAATTTCGTCGGAAAGTATTTGTGCGATACTTACTTTGAAAGTTCGCGTTTGATTCCGTTTGGAATTTGCTTTTGCGCGGTTTTGAAAACTTTTTCAGTTGCAAATGTATTTTACACAAAGAAGAGTTCAGTTATAAAATCAAATAATTTGTATTGTTTAGATTTATTTAAAATATCACTTCGTACAAGTTTTAAAAATAAGTTTAAGATATTTTAAGACATGAAAACTTTTTGTCGTCAAATATATCAACAATTTATCAATTAAGGGCCGATTTTTCAATCGTTAGATAACTTTTAACTAAAGAATAAGTTTGGCGCATAGACAGTTTTAGTATGGGAAATATGTCAAAATGACAAGGTTATTCTTCAGTTAAAAGTTATCCGACTATTGAAAAATCAGCCCTTACAATTATTATTTACGTAAGTTAAATAATTTTCTAATAATTTCATAAATTTCCAACCACTTTTAATAAAAAATAACATAAAAACCCTTATAAAAATTTTCCCACCAAAAAAAACCTATTTCAAAATTATTGAAATTTTCAAAAACTTACCTGAAAAGCTCGATAGTAAAGCCTGCCGCACACTGACACTAGACACAGCGCCCACTTACCGCTCACTGAGCTTTTGCCGCCCGCGTCGAGCTTTTATACTCCGCCCAGTAGGCGTAAGGCGGGCGGAGACAACGATGTTTGTTGTTTAACGTGTGAATGAAGTTTGCATGTTTTTTTATGGGATTTGTGCAGTGGTTTGTATAGAGTTTTATTAGTTGATAATTGTTAGTAATAATATGAAAATATAATGTTATGGATTGATATTAATCCGGATGTAAAAACGTTCTCTCACTTTTAAATAACTATGTAAACTTACGTTATATTCAATTCAATGATAATGATGAATATTGGTCCACGGCTTAGTATCAATGAAATATATTGTTTACCTACTTATGATTTAATAAGAAAACTACTATTTAAGTAGAATTATGATTAAAAACTTACAAAAACTTTAACAATTAATACAATACTCAAACAATAAATCCACAACTTCTGCAGTTCATGCCAAATTAGGAAGACTAAAATTGTCCCACTAATTAATATAGGTTTTTTCCAATAAGTACCTACTACACATAAAGCCAATATCCTCAGAAATTATTTAATGATAATAATGAATGTATTGATGATAGGGATTTGATGACCCTTGAGTTTCCTGAAAGTGGCACTTTCCATGAGACCTCATGCGGACTACTTCAGAAAATTTGAAGTGACGTCACTCTGTTTTGTTTCATTTGCCTACACTCATCTTATGTACGTTCATAAACACTCAATGGTAAATTAATCGTCTATTTTTTTTTAATTTGTGGTTTAGTTAATTGTTAATGAGAAATATAAACAAAAATGCAATATACTACGCTTCACTTTTGCGCCAGAATAACTAGTTGGAACAAAATTTTACTGTACAACCGAAAAAATAATAGACTATTTGACACCATTCCCCAATAATTCGAAATCACAACATTTTTAAAGACACTTACGCCCATATTTACAAACATTACTATGAGGTCTCATAGTGCGCGTGGACGCACAGGGTGACACACGAACCAATCACAGAGCTCTATTCAACGCTGTGCGATCGAATTGCTGCTTCACTTAAGCAAGCATCGTTTGTGAATACGGGCGTTAGTTTCATTCTGGTATTAAAATCTTAATTAATTTTAAATTACCTTTAAATTAAGATTTTTGGTTGCATTGGTAATTGAAAAAAAATATTGTTTTAATTGAATTGAAAAAATAGTGATGTCACTTGCTTGTATTGCCATACAAAATCTATGAGAGTGTCATTTTGACAGTTTTAAAAAGTACGTCAATTGATTGATGGTATCAAATCGTTTATTGATTAGGCACTTTTGTTGTAATATCGCACTTATTTCAACTGAATAAGATACAAAATACGGTATACGGTAGTAATGTTGGTAAGCAGATACTTCAAAATATCAAATCGTGTGGTAATGACATCTGATACCGTAATAAAGGAAGCGATTAAATATTATGTAATCTCGTTAATTAGTAGCTTCCTGAATTGTAATAATTTGTGCTAGTAAGCTTCATTTTGTTTAATATTAAGTGAATTTACTACACACAAATATTATAAAGAATTTACGGGGTTGTTTGTAGAAAGTAGGTAATTAATCTTTCGAACTGATGAATAACTTTGAGAAAAAAATCACTTTTTCCTGGGTCTCATCTAATCTATAAAAGCGAAAGATCACTGATTGACTGACTCACTCATCACGAAATCTCAAAAACTACAAGTGCTAGTAGTCCCAAATTTTGCATGAGGGTTCCTTTTAGAACGTAAGTGCTCACTAAGACGTTATTTTGCAAAATTCACCTCCTAAGGGGGTAAAACATCCACGCGTACGAAGTCGCGGGCGGCCGCTAGTACCTATGCTATATCAGGAACAGGAACAGGAACTTATCCGTTGGTTACACTGCAACTTTTGGCTTCAGAGGTCGCTGAAAGACATAGGTATGTCTCGTAAATAATCAGCAACCTATGTATATATAGGTAGCATTTTATTAAGTTGGATTGCTAACTGACATTTTTTCAGGAACGAGTAAAACGGTCAGGTTAATCATCTTCCGAATATAGTATTTATAAATTAAATATTAATTTGTAATTCTATCATAACATACTATCATCGATATCGAAATAAGTTCGCAACATGTCATAAGGTTGTGTTATCAACCTTTTGGTCACAAAATATTTGACGATAGGTCGCCGAAATGAGCCGCTTGTAAAAGTGAATAAACTACGAAACTGACGTCACACTACGTCACAATGATACTAGTGACCGTGACGTCACCGCAGGGCGTAGGTGGCGCCCTCTATCACGATCAGCTTCCGTTGGGTTTCGAGTATAATGCAGTTAGGTGTAGTTGAAATACTCCGAAATAAAACTTGAATTATGCATACACAGTTAGGTACCAATTTATAATAGGCAAAAAATATTTTCAGTAAATATCTTGTTGTATTTTGTGAAGGTACTTGATGATACTTACTTGTATTTATGTTTCAAATACGTACTTTTTAAACATTAACCTTAGGTGTACTGCTTCGGGATCTCAGATCATAGAAGGGAATAGATGTGAAACGGGGGCGTGGCGCGTGTCTCCGCGATATGCCCAGAAACGAACATCGGCCGCGTAGCTAGGTTAGTCGCGATTCAGTCGTACTAAGGAAATGTTCTCCGATATTTTGGATAATGCGTCGTTACGTGCAATAAAACAAGTGAAACGAAGAACTACAGGAACAATGGAGTCATTTACTACATGTAAGTATTGCAAATCCATTGGTATTTTGCTTATAAATAAAAAAACTGAACATTTTTACGAACCAATTCAGTGCCGTAACAGTTACTGCGATATCGAAATCAGTGGTGATAAAAATTCTAACACACTTGTACATTGACGATTTAGTTAGCAACCACTTTATGTCATGCTCAACTACTGCGCAATGTATTTAATTTCTTCCGATATCCACTGTCGTGTGAAAATACACAGTACGGCCGCATGTGCCGGTCGTAACATAGTGCCGTGCTCGTGTTCTAATGCGGTTTCCTATTATCGATTAATAGAAGTAAATTATAATTTTCTATTTTGTAATTTTAAATAAAAAAATGATGTGTTACTTGCGATTATAAGATTTTACAAAAAAAAATAAAATAACAGTAGATGTAATTACTAACTGTCAACTATTTAATTACTATAAGAGCTAGTTGAAAGCCTAATATAGGAATTATTTTTGATAAACATATGCGGTACGCACATCACCATAATTAAAAAGTAAATGCGTGATAGTAGTTAATAATAACGTATAATAATAAAAAGGTTTTCATACATAAGCATTTTGTGAAATCAGTTTCGAGCCTTGCCCCTAGCGATTTAAAGTATCGATATCTTGTCGACTCCATTTTATCTTTGTTCTCTCACTAGCGTTTTCTTAGTGTGCGTCACGTCACGCGGCCATTGATTGGCCATAAGGCATGCCTTCTGGCCAATCACAGCACTTTTAAGCCGGTTGCACATGTTGTCGTAGACTCTCAGTCGCTTTGTTTTTACACAGTTAAATGTGTGTGTGGGAGCTGTGGTGGGGGAAATGTGGGGACACTGGTTCTCGTTGTAGTTACGCGCGACTTCATATCTATTCTCTTTCTATGATCTGAGTTCGGGATAAATATACATTTAATTTCGTCACTATTGTCAGCCTTTTAAAGAATAGTTTATGGTGTTACATGTAATGGATATTGGTGGAGGTAGGTATAGATTATTAAGATATAGAAGAATTAGCAATAATTTTCGGTTAAAATATAAATATGTATTCGGTTTTTATATATGTTATTTTTTGAGCGTAAAAGCTAATATATTCAATTCATTTTTGATCTCATGACGTCACAATGCACCCAAGTACGGTTGGCTAAGCTCCAAATAATCGCAACATCAGATTCAGGGAATCCAGCTTCTTAAAGGTTTTCGCGGGAAACCTTAAAGAAACTTATTTGCAACCTGATATTTAGAAGGTCAGCTAATTATATATTTGCTGACACTTCAAGTACTAGAACGAAGGAATAGGAATCTTATAGCCACGATAGCCGAACGGTGAAGGGGTCGGACTCACCGACTTGAGATCGGAGGAACGCGGGTTCGAATCCCACCGCCGCTCGATTATTGTAGTGAGCCCACTCGTAATACAAGCATATTAGCTTACCAAGAGGGGCTAACGGGACTATTATTTATTTATTTATTTAATAAAAGAAACATACAGCTTTTATATTACATATAGGTACAGGAAAAGCTTAGTTTATTCATAAGCCAAAAAAGTTTCCAATGTTAATTTGTTAATAGCGAAGACATATTAGTAATTTGTGCAATATACAGGGTGTGAGGTAAATGGGTATATGAGCCGACACTAGCCCATGTTAACATGGGCATATAAATGGAATGGTGAAGTCAGAAAATTGATATCTTCATTTTAATTATTTTAATTTTCATACAAATCGGATTTTATATAAAATTTATTTTGTATGAAAATTAAAAAATTAACAAGGGCTAGTGTATTTACCTAACACCCTGTATAAATCTTTAAAAAAATCTGAATGCAAATCATAATTTAAGTTCTAGTTCTAACACTAATAAATTCTAAAAGTTTTCAGGACAGCAAAGAATAATTTAACACTTTATGATTGCTATGAATTGCGGATTAAGGTTGGATCCCTAACCAATTTGTCTATTTTAGGTAATTGTTTTTCCGTGAATTTTCTAGTATTAAATAGTTAGGTACTCTTGTATCTGGGGCAAAGATTAGAGATAGCTTTAATTTGGTGGATACTTATACCTGAACTAGGTCCTATTTAAAATCGGTGTTCTAAATGTTTTTCACTTCACTTCCCCCCCCGCCCCGCACGGTGTAGTGCTAGCGTACGGAGCTCTCGGGAGTTTTTGCTCATAAAAATNAAACCGACGTCAACAAGGACAATACTAAATCGAATGTCGATAAATAACTGGTAACAGCGTATGGTCTATTTGCATCTGGACTTCCATTTGCGATTACCTGTAA